TGCCGCGCCGCAGCTCGGTGACGTCATCTCGGTGCGCGGCGCCGGAAGCGCGATGGCGGCGGCGGGGCGCGATGGGCCCGAGCCGGCGGCGGCCCGCGGGCCCGGCCGAAAGCGGCGGTGGAGGCCCGTCCTGCTGCGCAGCGTTGTCGGCAGCGTCCAGGAGGGTGAGTCGGGACCGCCGGTGGGCCGGACCGGGCGCTGACGGAGGCCCGACTCCCTGGCCCAGCTGCGAGCTGGCCCGACCCGAGCGTCCCGGCTGGGGCCAGCCCTGCCAGGCCTGGCGGGGTTTGGGCTGGCGGAGCCCGCAGCCCCGCCTCGCCCCCGGTGTTCGTGGCCGTGGACTCGGCGCTGGGGGCTGCAGGGGTGCTGGGGCGGCCTGTGTGAGCTGGAGCTCCCCGGGCTCGGGATTGCAGCCCCCGGGCCGCGTGGCGATGGTTTTCGGGTTTAGGACTCGCTTTGAGTTTTCTCCATAGAAAAGCGTACATTTAAAAAGAAGCACGTTTGACGAGAGGTTGAGATTATTGATAGGCAGTTATGCAGATGTATAAATGAATAGGAAAAAGAGCATGGGCTTCAGCAGCACTTTGCTGAAGTGGCAGCTTTGGAGAAAGAATTAAAGGAAAAGTTTGAACTAATTTGACTTCTCTTTCGAAGCTGTTTTGTTAGTGAATATTATGAAAGTCAGTAGATCTTAAGACTAGTGCAATAAAAAATAAGTCCTTAGGAAAAAAGCATCTTTGACTTTGATAAGTTTTCTTTAGTGGTTGGGGCTGAAACTGCCAATTTCTGAGCTTTCCTTTAAGCAGAAATGATTCTATGATGTGGCTGTGGAAAAGCTCTTCCTGAACATGTGTAGACAGAAAGTAGTAGCAATAAATACCATTTAAGTGAAAAGACATAGTGGGTCATTAACGGAGACTGATAGGACGTTTTAGTGACTTTTCTCTGCATCACAGCCGCTGCACACTGCTGCTGCTGCCAGAGTTATTACCAATGTTTTCTTGAGACTGCCTTTAGGAGCTTATTTTAGAATCTATTTTCGTGTTGCTTTAGGATCTGTCAAAAGTAGGAGTGAAGTGAAATGTTAACACATCTTTTCACTGGATTCAAAAAACATTGGCAGTGGTGAGTGGGCGTTAAGTAGCAGTGTTTGCAGTGCTCTCCTGGGGGATTGGGCAGGAGTTTTCAGTAAATCTGTGCAAGCTGCAGTAGGGAACAACCAAATCATAGTGGTTCTTTCCTTGAACTTATGGCTGTCCCTGTTGAAATTGCCACACGTAGTGGCTTTTTTTAGTTTGAGAAGAAAACTGATGGAAGGGGTCCTGACAGCAGTTGAGTGGTTTGGTACTGTTTTAGTTTAGGTGTATTTAACTGCCTTCTTCTTGTGCTTTCAGGACGGGGATTTGCCTTTCGGAGGAAGCAAAAGATTGAACGGCAGTACAGGAAATTATTGAAAAAGAGAAGACAAGTGCATTCCCAACAGGATGATCAGTTTACAGATACCTACCCAGAGCACTTGAAACATCTTTACCTTGCAGAGGAAGAAAAGCTTAAGAAGAGGCGCAGGACTCCAGATGATTCGGTGTCAGCAGAAGAAAAGCTTAATAAAGCAGCAGAGTAAGTTTTCAAAGCATGTCTTTAAAAACAGTAGTTCTTTTCATCACTAAAGAAATATTTTAGGTCTTAACAGTTCACATGGACTTTAGTGGGGTGATTTGCTTTACTATAAATGCTGTTGTATAATATTACTTAAATATTTTTCCTGCTTGCTAGAAAAATAAATGGCAGTGTAACGGTTTTGTACTTGAGACAGTGAGGTGTCACTGCACAGTACTGCCACCAGATGGAGATGAGAATAAAGGAAAAAATTTTCATTGTTTCTCCATAAGAGAGTGGTATTTCTAAATGAATATTCTCATCTCTCTGCAGTTGCTTCCATGTGTTGGAACTAGAAAGAGAGAATGCAGCTCTAAACTAGTATGTTCAAGTTTTCTAGCTCTGAGGAGCTTGAATGAGGGGGAAACTCTTTTAGGCAGTCTTTAAGCTTAAGGAAACATCATCCATGTGAAGATACAGCAGATAAGGTGTATGCATTACTAAAGTTGTGTGCACTCTGGTCTTTGGTACGTTTGGCATTGAAGATGTTTAGTTTGTTATGTTTTTTTGCTGACTGCTCATGTATGACCTGGCATGGTGTTGGTATCATGTGGGAGTGCTGCAAACAATCCATTCAGTGTAGAAGGATGAGTGTTCTGAAACCTTTATTTGTAGCTGACTTCACTGACAAAAGCAGTGGAAGACTGCTGTGATTCTGCAGTGGCTGTGGTATCTATGGTTGTGTCTGCTTGGTGATACTCAGTGCCTCAAGAATGTGTACTTTTTCCTCCAGGTCAGCTGGGACTCGAGAGAAGTTTAAAAATAAAACATCCAATCAGAAGGCAAAAGAAGAATATGAGAAAATAAAGGCTGAGCATGCTAGAAAGAAAGAGGTAAATCTTAAACAGGGTTCTCTCTTAGTTTTAAACAAAATCTAGATTAATACCATTTCCACCTCTCAGTCTTCCATCTGAACCCAGGGAAGGCCATAGGACGTATTGGAACTCACTCTTTGAGTCTTTTTAACTTGACAGTGGTATTCAGGCACACAGGCATTCAAAAGATCATTCTCTTTGTTCAAAAGTATTTTTGTCTTGCAGTTGCCCATAGCAGGATTTTATTATGTCAGTGGGTACATGAAGAAAAGCTTAGAGCTTGATCTGCATTCCCCAGTGGATTATATTAGACCTCTTAAATTTTGTAGAAGGGGAAGTAATAGCAATACCATCATCTTGTGATGAAAAATTAAATACCCATCCTGTTTCTTATGGCATTATCATAATGCAGTCTTCATTTTACTTTTTTATGTACTTTGACCAACAATGAAACAATTAAATTTAATAGTATCCACAGTCAAAATTTTTAGTCATTCCCATCATTTGAGTCTAATTGGGCTTATTTTATTGGGATTATTACAGGACATACTGTAATATCATCATTGTCCATCAGCTCACTTGAATTATTAATTTGAGAGGTCCTTATTTAACTAGTTTTTTTCTCTCCCAGGACATTGTTTGTTGTACTGTAAAATGGCTCACAGTGTAGCATTGTAGAAGATGTGTAACTTCCTGGTGGCATACTAAATTTCAGTAGCTACTCTATAAATATTAAATATGTAGCTGTATAAACCATACTATTTCTTCAGTTCAGCTATATTTAGTTTTACACAAACTGACCTGTGATTCTGGTGAGTTACATGGTTATTCAGCTGATGGCTGCTTCTTCACATATTAGCTACAGATTGTGTCAAAAGAAGGTAATGTTATAACCAGCTTATGTAGAGAAGGTGGGAACAAGCAGAACCCCAGCAAGACTGCAGGGAGTTCTCTTTGAGCAGCACATAGGAGTTGCCCGAGCGCAGATGTTGGCATTTTTAGTTTTGTTAAAGATAATTAGGCAAAGCAGGAGCTAAGTGCCCCAATAACAGTAATCGTTTAGGTGGACTACTTAGGTGGAGCATGATGAAAAAGTACGTACTTCATTGTCATGTGTTTTAGCAAACGCTGGATTTGCTGTTATTTGTCTTGGGAAGAGAGATAAGCCTAAAGACACAATTTTGGCCTCCTCAAAGTCCTTTTTTGGCCTAAAAAAAAAGCTAGTATTTAGTAAAGATCAGAAAAAATATGAATGTAAGTAGCAACTGTCTAAGTAAGATGAATGTTCTTGCTTTGAAGTAAGCGTTTGGTTGGTAACTTAACTGGATGTTGTGTGCAAGAATATGCTGAACGACAGAAAAATTATTAGATACAAAGTGAATTACAGGTAAGTTAGAGCTGATGCTGCTCTGTTTTTTTAAAAAAGGGGGAGTAAATTGTTTCAGTCATTATGGTAAAATAAGTCAAGGATTCTGAATGGAGAGAGGTTATCTCTGCCTGTTTTTGCATATACGTGTTTATTTGATTGTTTGGGGTTTTTTTCCTGAGGCTTCTTAGATTTCTGTTTAGAAGTCTTTCCTTGAATTATATCCTGTAAATTTTGTATCTGAAAGCAATTCTTACTAGTATTTGTGCGTCACTGAAGCCATCTATGCTGTAGAAAATAAAAATATGATCCATATATTATCATTTGTTCAGGCATTCTGCAGAAATGCTTGCTTATGTAATCCGCATGGCACTGCATTTCAAAGAATAAACTTTATGAGAAGAAATTATCCAAATGAACTGAAGCAGTCTTTCAGTCTGATTTGTGATGTCTTGCATATTTTGGTAGGATGTGATATAAGTGAAGTAAGCATGGTTGTCTGGCTTGTGGATGTTTGCCCAAGTTACTGAGTAAAATTACAACACTGGAGAAGGGGGTGTGAGATGTGGGATAAAATCTGGATGTAACATTGTCGTGATTATCTACATAGTGTTAGTAGTCCATCCATATATAGTTAGTGCTCCATTAGTAGTTTGGTTGCATGTGTGCTCCGTGGAAGGTTTTACAGGTAAAAATTTGATTAAGGTTTGTGGTTTCATTCCGTCTCTCTTAGAAGTAAAGACAGAATCTGTGTTGCTTTAAAGAGAACAGGTCACTTGTAGTTTGGTCTGGATTAATTCCCCCTAGGTAATGCTGTTCTGGTATCACAAACCTGCCCAATGCATGGTCCAGATACATCCCATGTCCTATCAGCCTGTCCTGTGCAGAGGTGTCCAGTATCCTAGCACATCTGGATTGGCAGGATATTCACATGGGAGCTGCTGCATCACCTTTTTCTTTCTTGCACTCAAGAGGAGAAAGTGGGGAATTTTTTGCCAGTTTGTCATTTAAGCAGGGTAGTCAAGGAGCACACTTCACAGAAAGGAAGTAGTATACATTGCAGCAGCAAGCCTTATTGTAGGATGTTCTGCTGAAGAAAGCTTGGTTCTTCTCTTCAAGCTTGAGGCTGTATAATTTGTTCTGATTGCAGTATGTGCTGAAAGAACATCCTGATTCAGCTTTAGAGAAATGGTGTTTCTATTGGCAGTACAATACCTAATTGTTGGTACCTATACAAAAATGAACTTTATTGCTAATAAATAGCTTCACAGTCGCAGAGGGTTTGTAATTGTTTCATAATCTTACATATGTATTTAATTTCAGGAAGCAGAAAAAAGAAAACAACAAAGAGAAGAAGCTCAACGTTTGTACAAGAAAAAGAAAATGGAAGCTTTTAAAATACTGAGTAAGAAGACAAAGAAAGGACAGCCAAATCTAAATTTACAAGTAGAATTTCTTCTTCAGAAAATACAGCAAAATACATAACCCCTGCATATATTTAAGTTAGCTGTGGACATTTTATTAAATTGCATTTAATAAATACTGTCTTTTTGCTTCCATATTACTTTTGTTATCTCCTTTATTTATCTCATCAGTCCAGTAATGACATATTCATCCTGAAAATATGTACTCTATGCTGAGAGTGAAAGGGATTTGATACCTTGAAAATAAATGGTCTGTATTTCTAAACTTAAATTCTATTACCTGTGTGACATCTTGAATTCAAAATTATTGCCTGTAGCACCATCTGACCGTTGTCTCCATCTCTCTGGGAGGCTCTCAGGAACCCCGGCCAGCCCCGGGTCAGCAGACAACGGGAGGACCATCTGGCCGTTGTCTCCATCTCTCTGGGAGGCTCTCAGGAACCCCGGCCAGCCCCGGGTCAGCAGACAACGGAGGGTGGGGGGCAGCCCTGAAGCAGCCGACAGTGGGGTGACACTCTGGTGCCCCGAGGGTACTGAGGGCAGCTAGGCTAGTCACCTTTGTATCAGAAGAGACACTGGAGACCTTGGTAGAGGATAAAAGTCCGACTCTCAGCAGGGGGCCAGTCCAAAGTTTATTTGGAGCTCCCCATGGAGCCCCACAACTCAGTGTTGTGCCTTGCTCAGAGTAAACCAAAAGGAGTCTGAAGGTTACATTTAAAAGGGGGGGGAGGAAACCGAGGGTAGGTACATTTGCTGACCAATAAAGGCCCTCCAGGGATGCAGCCTTAGGGATGGACATTTGGGATAGCGTATAGAATAATACTTGGGGGGCGGCCCCCTGACCTCGGACTAATCACTCGACGACTTGGACCGAAAGTTCTAGATAGAGGGGATGGGATGCTGAGTGACTGCCAGGGAGCCAGGGCGGGGATTTGGGGATGATCTCAACACAGGAAAATGATTACGCAGGTAGAGGGAGGGGGTACAAAAAAGCAGTACACCATTTGGGGAAATAGGGATACAAAACCAAAACTACTACAAAGTATTACAAAGTATAAAAGCACACTACAACAGACTAGGAATGTAATACTTCCTGCAGCTGTGACTACTAAAATTGCACTCACTTGGGAGGATTAAAATGATGTATGTGACGTGTTTGATAATCTCAAGAACTGCCAGTTTTAGGAGTTTGTTTTGTGTGCTCTCGGATAGGTTGGGCATATGAAAACAAAGTACATACACTATACTTGGATGGCTATTATTTCTTGTACTCCACAAAGAACAAAATTTGCCAAAGGTTCAAAAGTGGTTTGGATGTAAAGATCTTGGTAAAATAAGTGTTGTCCCATCCATAAAGCTGCTTTGTAACTTGTAACATGTGAATTGCTCTACCTTTTGTATATAGCTTTGTCATCAATTTGTTTTCTTCAATGTAGCTTTTCATTAATAGCAGTTTGGATCAATATTTTCAGTCTGGATTTATGTATTTTCCCAAAAAGAGAGGTTATGCCTACAATTAATATCTTGCCATCAACCCAGTTGAGAAAACACAACATTTGTCAGTTGAGAAACTATAGTGAGAAACTATAGTTGAGGATCCCACTTTGTGGATATGATTTGCACACCCATTTCTTCACACCTGTAAATACTGGTCTGATTTTCAGGCAGTGAATTTATTTTTTTTTAATTTTAAAATGGTGTCTTGTTTTCCAGGTGGTAGTGATTACTGTTGTCAATGTTATTTAAAACCAATCTTATAAAATATAGATATAATTTTGTGGTAATTTCAGTTGCTGAATGTTGAAGTGTATAAGCTGCTGCTTCTTGATCCATACAGTAATCTGCTCTGAAGGCAGTGGAGGTAGGCTGATAAATTGCCTTTGCACTAGGAGCAATAAATCATGCCAAAACTTACAAACGCTTTGTATTTAACAAATATTTTCTTTGGGAGTGTGGAAAGGGTACAAAAAGCAGTTACAACATACACAGGAGCACCTTCCACTTCTGCATCACACTTTGTATTAGAGCAAGGTATCCAGTTTTTACTGCATGAGTGGGGGCAGGGCAGCTCTTCCAGCCCACGCCCCCACTTGCTCTATCAGTTGAGAAGAAGCACTCCTAGGAATGGCTGCACCTTCAATCAGTGGGGCTTAAGCACATTCTTGATGTTAGTCACATAAAGTAGGAGAGAAAAAGGAAAAATAAAAAGCTACCTCATTGTTCCTCTGATGTCTTATCTTGTTTGGTTTTTTTCCTTAAGTTGCAACCTAAACTTTACTCATTTCTGGCAGAGTAGTTTTCTTTTTTCCTTTTTGTTTTTTAACAAGAAGAACCAGAAGAGGATCTGGGGACCTCGCAGTTTGACCTCGATGCCAGGGAAGGGCATGGAGCAGATCACCCTGACTGCCATCACGCATCAGGTGCAGAACAGCCAGGAGACAAGGCCCAGCCAGCGTGGGAGTATGAGAAGCAGGTGCTGCTTGACCAGCCTAATCTCACTCTGTTAACGTGATGTGCTTAGTGGGTAAGGGAAAAAGTGTGGATGTTAGGTACCTCAACTTTAGCAAGACCTTTGATGCTCTTTCAGGAGAGACCTTATCCCTCTCTGAGACTGCCTGAAAGGAGGCTGTAGCCAGATGGAGGTTGGCCTCTTCTCCCTGGTAAAAAGTGTCAGCGCAAGAGGAAATCATGTCTCAAGTTGCACCACGCAGGTTTAGACTGGATATTAGGAGACATTTCTACACCAAAATAAATTTTTCACAAAAGTTTTAAATTCCAAGTAAATCTTGAATGTTGTTCATACCTTCAGCATTCACAACTGAAGAAAGCCTAAGGATTGTGATTAGAAGATGGACCTACATTTAATTCTCAGTATAAAATGCAAATGAATAGTGCTTGCCAAATTCCTTGATTCTGAAAGGTACAGGTATTCTACAAAAGTAATATATAGTCATAACTTTGGCACTAAGACAATTTTTCAATGTTTTAAACTTCCTGAAGATTCTTGGGTTGTATTGTAAACTGTTTTAAAATAGGTAATTACCTTCCTTGGATTTGGATTCACAAACCAAAAACATTGATATGGTGAAGTTTGGATATTTACTATTTAAGGAATAGCTTGTAACTGAAAACCAAGAATAGGAAAAACAAATCAGAAGTGAGCTTAACCTGAAACTGTAATGTGTAGATAAGACTCTTTCCGTTTCCCTAGAATGTCATTTGGCAAATGTGAAATTAAGCTTTCTCAGACCTCTAGCAGCTGTAAAAAATCTACTAGTTATGAAACAAACAAAAAAAACAAACAAACAAACAAAAAAAACACAGAAAAAAAAACCAAACCAAAAAACCAATACACTCCCCCCTCCAAAAAACAGGAATAGCTTGAAGCATCTTTGTCTGTCAGTTTGTATTAGGTATCTCTCAAAACAGTGCAGTCACCTAGAAAATTATGCACTTGATATAGAAATGATTCTTTGACCTGTGGTATAAGAAATGTAAGAACAGCAGATTAGTGTATGACTTCTTTGCAGTTTGAATTATTATCTAATGTGTTTGGGCTATTATTCCTACTCCACCAAAATCTAATTTGTACTGAAGACTGCAGATTTTCTTATCTGTTAACAGCTGCAGATTAATTATAGGCTGAAAAGCTTTTCATTATCCTTTAATTTCATTGTCTTTTAGTTTCAGTTCTATGGTAGTATTAGTAAATTGTAAACAGATCTTTGCAGAAAGCAGCAGAGCTATTGTATGGGAAAGACGTTTATTCTGGAGTGGTTTTGCTATTAGAAATAAGGAAGATGTTGTCATTAAAGTGGTGAGGGATCATAAAAGTGTATTTTTTATTTCTCAGTCTGGAATGAAGGAAGGGATTTCATTCTACCTGACTTGGCATAAAGGCATTTCCCTAAACTGTGTTTTCTTCTTTGATATATTAAATGTGCACTTCCTCGTAAGTTTATGTTTTTTAATGTATAGTGACACACCACAGTTTAGTTGGAGGCCTGACAGAAAAGAAAGGAATAGAACAAAAAGTCAATTGGAGAACTGGTAACAACTATGTATTTCTTAGTGTAAACAATATTCAGTTTATATGAAGCACAGTTTTACAAAACCAGTGCATATATCTGAAATACCCTATGTAATTTAACAGAGAAGTTGACATCTACAGAACTCATTTTGTTATAAGCTCTTTAGGATATATATCCAGGATAGTTCTTCCAGTTTAAAGCAAGGGTGCCATTGCAAGTCAATAAATAATCTCAACTGGAAAGAAAAAAATGTAGAAAATACTTTTCCTTAGTTTACATATGGAAAAGAAGAACTACGAAGTAAAGGATTATTTATAATCATAAACCAGTGTTGTAATCTGCTTCTCATTTATTTCAAAAATTAAAACTAATTTCAGATTTTTAGATTAAAAAAACCCCACTCTGAAATTTAATTTTTTGTCCGGTAACAGCTAGATTTGGATGCTTCCCAATTACTGTTTCTATAGCAATGGCAAACACATGAGGGAAGCAATATTAAAACATTTTTTTAAATCTCGTATTTGTGGTTATCTAGCTGCAGAAGGTAATATCAAATACCTGTCTACATTGCAGCTGAGCCACTCTACAGAAAAGATGGAAAGAAATAATTCTCACCACCAATGTTGCTGCTGGTACTGCGTATGTGCGTGCACTTTTTAGGGTCTCTTTTTGTTCTCGGTTAAGAAAAGCCCACTGGGTGGAGGCATGGAGCTAAATTTCATCAGGAGACAGTAATTTGTAGATTAAAAAATTTTAAAAAAGGATGGACATTAAGAACAAAATGCAGCAGCCCTGTTTAATGAAGTCTTTAAGACTTGCTAGCTATTTGAAGTTGTGCACATCTTCCTTAAAACCTCTTGATTGTAATTTAGAATTACGTCTGCATTAGAGAATCACTGGAAAACTTTCTTGAATTGCTCAGATGTATCCCTTTTTATTTTTTGCTGGTCTCTTAAAATTTTGGCCATATCCTGTCAGTTACACAAACAATATTGTAACAGTTCCATATGTATTTATCCTTCCTGAACTACTTAGAAGGAACCTGGAAGTCTTGCAGTATAGAATCCGCTTCAGTAATTTTTTGACTCTTCTGAGAGTTACTTGCC